GCCCGCCTTTTCAAGTACGAAAGCGAGGTACAGCGCATGACGCTAAGTCTTTTGGCTGGGGAAACTTCCATATTTGGTAAACACCCCAACAGGTCGCGGAAGACTCCGCAAGCGCATTTAAACTATGGGGTGCGGGGTTGAAGCATCATGAACTTCAGACGACTTCTACAATTCTGCGAGAAAGGCAGCGAAAGATGTTAGAGCTTCAGCTTTTCAAAAGTGAAGTTGAGGACAGAGTGCCTTTTGAAAGAATGATGTGGCTTTAGGGTGACGATTCCTAGCCGATCCATGAAATGTGGCATTAGAACCGCTGACCACACGTCATCTGACGGATCCTGTGCTGCAAGCCAAGTCGCTGAGACCGATTGCCACGCGCCTAAGGCTTCACACCATGAGCGAATGAGCAAACAACAAGGACTCTAGCGATCCCGGCGACTCTCGCGGGACCTATGAGGTGTGTGAGAGAGCTGGAAGACCCTGCGCCACGTTTGTCCAGCCCTGCTAGGCAAAAGCGTTGGCCAAAGATCAGCGACGTCAAGCCACGAGATAGTATCTTGGCTTGCTACATTAGGAAAACTGAAGTCGTTTCCTTTTGCCCTCTTCGAGCTTCAAGTAGCTCTCATGATGCACAAGGCAGAGCAGCTGGACCCTGCGGCTTTCCGAGTCTGGGCAAAGGAAGTATTTATGCTTATTTCTTCACTGATTGTAAGCGCAGTGAGATCACCACAGCAGCGGAGCAAGAACCAGCATCATCAATGAGCAAGACCGAGCAAGATAGCTTTGCATCTTTCTTATATAAATACGATACAGGCAACATCCTTTGCACCGACTCTGAAATGTATGAACTTGTTTCCCTCGTCGACACACGCATCGATCGGCACAACCAGAAATCACACAACATGATGAGCACCGGCTGCGACGCAACGCCCACGCCGTCCGGCTCGCCCTGCGAAGTCCTCCGCCAGGTGGAACGACTGGGTGGTGCCCAAACAATGATAGACCGGGTCGATCTCGCAAACGGTTCTACAACACCATTCTACGTCCTTCACCGCAACAAGGAAAACAAAACCGTTGCCGTGTTACATGCAGATCCCCGCGCGCAAGCATCGGGTGAAGCGTTGGGTATAGCGAAATACCATTCCCTGTCCTCAAAAATCGACGTCATTCTCCGCGGCGTGCCGATCAAGATGAAGACCAACACTATGGGTAACACACACAGGTTCGACCACCATGGTATAAGCTACAGTTGGGGTGTCTCCAATTTGAGCATGTCAATGAACACGATGTATCTGAAGGATGCCGGGGGCAAACTGCTGGCGACATGGAAAAGGTACCCTGAAGGCAGGTTAAGCGGCATGATTGGACAGTCAGCCCCGACATTTGAGGTTTACGTCCCGCCACAGAGCATCGATATGGACATGGTGATTGTCACAGGGTCTGCAGCGGTCGAGTATTGGCTGAAGTATAAGAAAGACTCCTACGCAGCGGTAGGAGAGGCCTTCGGTGCAGTTTGATACATCTGAAGAAACTCATAGCGGACTGTATGTTGGAGTGTATTCGTTGGCCTAGTATTCGAAGGGGAAAGCGAATATCGGTTGGGAGCCTCTGTGGCGTTGGCGCTGATCTGATAGAATTTCTTCATATTTGAACAATGTACTTAAGATTTCCATTTTCGAGTGTATGAAGGTTGAAGCATCAGGGCAATTGAGGTGACCGACAGCAACCAGGAGATGATGTATCATATGACGGTGCCACGGGTATGAAGTTGTACTGATAGATTGCCCATGATGATCCATTTTGCCTATGTTTCCAGGAACGACGCAACGGCAAAATCAATGAATAGTCTTTAGCGGCACCTCTTCAAGGTAAACCCACCCCAAGAGCAGGATTCGGAGCCGTTAGTCCTGTGTTGTAATGTTCCCTATGGAATGGTCCAGGGCGGCCATGCTTCACTATCGAAAAGGTGAGCAAAAATTGTCTGTAGTAGTAGGTTACTCTCTCATAGCTCTTCTGTTGCTTTGATAAGACTCAAGACAGTGATGACAAAGAAAGTTGCGTTGCAATGGCTCAAGCCTCAACTTCACAACGTCTTTATGTTTAACATTTCCAATAACAAAGCCGAGAAGTCGAAGAATCGAGGTCACAGAAAACCAGCCAGCGATAGTAATGGTATCTTTGTACTCTGACGCCTTCTGTACTGTCAGTTTTCCTTCAACATGGGCTAGCAGGTGAATCCTGGGGCCGGTGGAAGGAAGGAAGCCTCTTGCCCGGACACCTTATTGAGAGACAGTACTGATGAGACCCATCTTGTCTCTCCCAAGGCATTTTTAAACACGTCTCATCTCACACTCTTGCTCGTTGTATCACGAGGCCTCATCTCTGTCCCGCAGAAAGAAAGTCAACTAACAGAACTGGCGAGAGCACCCCTTCCCATTTAAGCTTGCTCCTTCCTTCTACTCTGAAAAAGATTATCTCTCCTTTTCTATCCTCTACTTCCCTCGAATTACTCCCAGCTTTTTCATCATCGCCCACTCTCTCTTATACTCAACCAGTTTCGCTGCGAGCCAGATCGTATAGCAATCTTTACAAGCTCTCCAAAATCCTCTTTTGCTCGCGTCCTTCGAGCTGTTTCACTCAATTCAGTCATCATTTAGACTTCGACATCAATATGGATGAATTCTGCGTTCGTCTCCTCTCCTACTTCGACCGCGGCATGGACGGCAAGCCCGGCCGCTGGCCTCACTCGCTTCCCTCTCCCGAGGACATGGCAGGCGCTGGCTATCGCTTCGAAGGCAACCGGGAAGTCGGAGGCGACATCGTCGTCTGCGATTTCTGTACCATGCAAGCGTGGGCGTGGGAGCGCAAGGACGATCCGTTCGCTCAACACATGGAGTCCAAGAGTTGTGAATACGTTGACAGCGAGATGTTCCGAGACAATCACGACAAGTTCCTTCAGAAGCAGGGCGAGAACAAGAAGATGGACGACTTGATGCTCACGCCTCCTGCTACGCCGACCAAGAAGACTTACAAGCCGCGCCGGAAGTTGCGCTTGTCCCCCATCGTGACTGTATTCGATAGCATGCCTACCGAGGAAGCCGACGCCAAGGCCGTCAATAATAGCAAGCCTGTCGAGATCGCGGTTTCTGCTGGAGAGACCAAGATCTTGATCAAGATTACTGATGGCGGCGAGCGTGGTAAGCTTCCAGTTCCTACTCCTACTCCTTCCTCTTTGCCTTGAAGCTAACAAGTCGGACAGCTGCCAAGAGAATCCGTCTCGAGTGAGCGGCCCTGCGCTCGACGTTCGTCCAAAGACAACATGGCTGTTACAGATGTGACTTTTACAAACATACTTGCTTCGAATACCCTCGTTCGTTCCATCTATTCCGACTTGCAAAACGCTCGGGAATGCTGACATCTCTCACCAGTATTTCAGAGACTGCTACATTATCATTTTTGATCAGTGCGTGGACTAGCGAGGAAGAGTCTGTTCATGTGCTTTAGGGCAAGATACCGATATGGAAGGAAGGAACTACGAGATATGTACAGGAATTTGCCCAGATGAGCAAGCATGACGCTTGTGGATGAGTTTTTCAAGGGCAAGGCATTACGGCAATCGCCAAACATCGGCCATCGGCTGCGTTTGGACAGAGCTATCAGAAGACTTCCACGAATGGTGGCGAGAGGGAATACATACCATCATCATAAGGCAGTAGTCTGTCTCTAGGTAGCCAACAGACATCTGTATCATTCACTCATCCAAACCTACGGTCTAAACAGGGTACATGACATGACAAACGCCGGTGGCAAATGTTCCACAGCGGCCTATTGACCTTTTGCCTACCCGTGACATCGCAGAGCAACTAGGTACTCCTCCAACTACAATCTTCTGGTAGACGAGTGAGGCCAGCGCCGCAGCCGTCCACAGGTCTCAGATCACATCCTTCCTCCTCATCGTCACAACCCGTTTCCAAAGGTCTATGAGAGCGGAGTAATGGGTGGGCAATGCACGGCAGGCAAGACAAATCATATCAAGTGCCGACTGGAAACACGGCACGCGGAGGATTGAACGGGGCCGAAGGGTTGTCGGTGTCCGCGGGCCGTGAGACATTAGCACAGAAACGTGGGTGGGTGACACACCCGCATACATCTACAAACAACCTCTGGCGAGGCTTACTCCAACGTATGTCTATGTAGACATCCAGTTGCTTATACTCTGCATGTGGTATCAAACGAGAGTGACAGGATGAGCGAGTCCCTGTCATTGTGAGCGCAGTGACGCCCGCTATGAACCCGCGCCACAGCCATCAATCCCCCAACTGGAAATTCAATGTCGCGCTGTACCTGTTGCCGCAGAAGCGAGCCGCTCAAAGACTTTCCCTTCCAGACCGACCGGAGGATCCTTAACATACGCAGGGCGCAAAGGTCATGTTCTCCGTGGTCAGAAATGAGTCGAACTAGGCACTTGATCAGCGCGTGTGGCAGCCGTTAGGATCCGTGAGATGCCCCTAGTGGGTGTTCCTTAGGCAGCTCCCGGTCGGCTGCTCTCTGTATTGTGTTTGGTCAGCGGTTAAGTTTGCACGTTGTAGTAAGGTAGGTAGGTAGTTTCAGCGGCCATCCGCAGCGGCGAGGCGGGTTCGTTCCATTCAGCTCAAGTTCCAGCGTAGGGCCAGGTGCAAACCGTACTACAAATGGAACGGCTGTCAGGCGGGCGGGCGGCGGTGCGCTGCGGGCTGTGCGGGAGCGCTCGTGATGGCCGCACCGCCGGGTGACAAGACGGGCGACTGACAGGGTCGACCAATGACCTTGGCGATGGGTGACAGCCGCCAAGATGTAGGCAGACTTTTTGTGAGATGAGGCAGCTTTTGCCCAGACGTATTTAATGAAGCAGAGGGGCTGCTCATGATGTGAATGCGAATGGGCTTTTGAGTATCGTGTGAACAAACCGAATATCAAAAACACAAGCACCAAAGCAAATCACGAGACCGAGACGAGAAGCTACAATGACGACTGTCAATCAATACCAGCGTAATGGCAGATCAGGCCGCCCATCGGGGCGCAATCCGCTCCGTACCGTCTGGCGCGAGACGTACGAGGTCTGGGATGGGGTCTGCTACGGCGTAGGCAAGGCCTATTTCAAGATCACCGGCAGATGGTGATATGCCGCGGGGCAGGCGGCAGGGCCGGCAGACGTATGGATGCATCATCGCATTCCAGTATAGCCCTGACGGCACACCGAGTAGTGACGAATGACGAACAACACATGAGTAACGAGTAAACGAATAACGCGCCTGATGATTAACGACAAACGACAACCGGAGACGAGAAGATGAACGACGGAGCACCGGGGTGGAGGAATCAAGCATTTCGAGTATCCCGAGGGCAACATTAGGGAACCATAGGCTGGCATCGAGAAATGTTGACAGGAACCAACCATAATTCACCAGCCAATCCGACAAGGAAGGCCAGATTAGACCAGATTGAAAGAAACAACCCGCTTGGGCGAACAGCAAGATTGGCATCGACAACCCGCCCACCGATGACGTCGGGCCTGGGAAAATCTTGATCAGCGCCGCAGACTCTAGAACGCTGTGTCCATCTCTTGGCACTGTGACAGATAGTTCAGCTGGAGGCGGATTCAGTGGTTCCCCATCAACTTGACACGGATTTGAGGGGATCATCCTGCCAGAGTGGGCCCCTTCAAGGCTCAAGGTTTTGGTGACGCCGGGAGGGGAAGGGAGACAGTCGCTGGGCGGGCGAGCCGGGGGGAGATAGGTAACGAGGGTTTGCCCTTGGTTAGGAATGAGGATAAGGCGCGAGAATCCGAGGAAAGAATATCGAGAACGCGGGAGCTGCGGACATGGCGGACGGGGATCCCGCTGGGTGGCCGCGGGATGATAGCCGAGTGGGATGGTTGGCCGCCTTTTGCGATTTAGATCATCTGAATGGGGGTGAAACGGGGCGCGAGCGACACCGAAACGATCTTCTGTCGACTATCAACAAGAATAGTAGACGGATGCGGTACGGGAAGGAAATGCTTGGTTGGAGTTGCACTGCCGCAGACCACGTCGCATGGAATCCATAGAATAGAAGATCCGAATTTACAATCAGCAAGACTTTGGTGACTCTCGAATTCTGATAAACGGGTCACGTCTTCCAGTATCCGTACAGTACATTGTACCGATGAACGGGCCAAAGGGCCCATCCTCGGGGAGAAACGAGACGCAAGACAGGTGAAGAAAAAGCAAGCAAATCGTTTGTCCATCGTATTGGCTTCCTGCGCGGCGGCAGATGAACCAGTGTCGAGAAGCCCACATAAACCACAATTCTGTCGTTGGAAAATCGGGGCGGCGAGCATACGCAGTAAAAGTGATTCCAGATTGAGATTCGCACGACCGGGTTTGATGGTTTGATGCTGGGCCTTGAACCAATGCCAACAGCGCATCCGACATTCGGACCGGGCCCCTCTGGCTCCCTTCTGGAGACTCTGGATGTCTGGGCCGTTTAAGCCTGGCGCTAGGCCTAGAGTAAACAACTTAAGGTAGGCCATACCAAAAGAGAGTTAATTGGACTACCGCTTCGCCAGTCCTATTTTTGTTGCTCTTGCGAGTTGGCAACTGGCGAGTATTAGGTGCCCATACGGATACATACGCTGCCAGTATGGATGCTGCCAGCACCGAGACAGTACTGGAAAACCCCGTCGAGTCAGGGAACATGGCGGTTAGCGCTGACTGCACTGCTGGTCGGAACTAAAGGCCTTCACTGTGTAGAAGTAGCACACCCACACATCCTGTAGGTGTGCCTCCAAGCCTCGTATTGGCGGCGATATGAAAGTTTTGCCTCTGGGGCTGTGGTTGACAGTTTGTCGATGCGCTGCTTCATCGTCAATTCGGAGAATTCGGTCGGCCCCCGTCCGTCCCGAGCTGGTGGTGAAGCTGTCCGCCATGCGTTGGCTAGCTCAGCTTGATTTGCATTTGCTCAGCAGTGAGGCATCCGTCGAGCAAGGATACGAGCATATTGCGCAGCGCTTTGTCATAGGACACTCGCCAGAAACATCGGTCCGTCTGGGTTCGAGTGCTGCGAGACAGCAACAGCCCAGCGCAGCAAGCCTGCTGGATCATGGATGGATGGTGTGGGATGACTGGGAGAACAGACGAATAGTGGGATGATTGGCCTGAAGGTCTGGACCGCCGCTGCAGTCAGACTGTGTACAGAGTACTTCCGTCGACGTGGATGCATCTGCTGGGAGCCTGGCTCTCTGGGTTGTTCTGCTCCTGCATTACACAGAGTATTGAATTACCCATTGTAACATTATCTGTGGTTCTCACTGGAGATTTGGGCCGTTGGCGAGTGACACCTTGGAGGCTGATATTGACAGTCGAGTTGGCCACGGTGGAGATAACAAGAAAACCATGCCGGAAGTTGATTGCAGTGCTGCCAACAAAGAGATGTATCCGTATGTGGCAGATGAGGATGAAAAATTCTTTCAGATCGCTGCCGTGTTCATCCCAAGCATGTTGGATTGGGCTGGGCAGAGTCGGTGGGAGCTTGCCATGGCAGACCTGAGGGAGAAGAGCGCGCTGGGCAGTGGCTGGGCGAAGGGGAACCTGTGAAGTGAAATTGACTTTCTGTCTGGTTATGCGCCGCGGGACTTGACAGCGGGATGTGATGGGAACTCGATAGTGAGGCGCAGAGGACGGACGACAAGAAATGCCAATGCTGAGAGGTGAATGACCTCTTGGCAATCCAGGTTGAAGGGTTCTTGGTTTATCTGTTGAGGCCAAAGATGGTGATGTTTGACGCTTGGCGGCACACGATAGCCTCCAATTCTGTTCGTCTAGGACCTACTCCGTAGAGGCTAGAGCATCTCGGCGTCTTGCTGGAGGGGTTCACTGGTTCTGGTAGGCCGGTGCGTTGGTGGCACACCCACGAGCTATGAGCCTGTAATGGACCAGACGAGGGGCGGCGGCTGGGTTGTGAGAAGATGAGCCCGGCGTCCGCAAGTCCCGGTCTGGAAGGTCAGCCGGTTCTCCAGGCCGAAGCTCACCTTGAGTGGAGATTGCCCCTATTTCTCGCTATTTCACTAACGGCCTTGGTGGATGAAGCGGTGGACCGTGGCCCCAGCGGCTACAGTGTGAACTGGGGGCGTGGTAATGGTGCCCTCGTGTCCTGGTGCCCTGGTGCAGTGTGTTTGTGTTGGTTCGAGACGGCGTCGAAAGGAGAGTTGTCGAGGAGAGATGCAGTGAAGATGAAGCTATAACAGCTTTATGTGGTAGATCCCTGAGCAGATGTTAGTGCTTCATCGGACGTCATAGGGTGATTTGGATGGACCTCTGTCCACACTGTGCCAAGTCTCTCACAACCTTGAAACGAGATGAACATGGCCCAGGCGGTTCCCAGCGTGCATCCAGGGTACGTATCTAGTCGCTCGCCTCTCTCGTCTCTCTTGCTCTTCTTTCGCGCGGAGAAGAAGGTTCTTAGGTAATAAGACATTCCTCCAGTACGGAGTAAGGTAAGGTAGGTTCGGTTGGCAGATGCATGTTGAGTGCAAGTGCTAATTTGGCACATGTGCAGGTACCTCGTGATTCAATAGTGTCGCGCAGTGGCTTCAGGTATCCGTACCGTCGCATCTTTCTCTTTCGCTCATCTCGTCCAAAAGAATGGAAATGAAGATGCAGGCAGGCAATGTATGAATGGTGCTAAGACGGCTGCGCCTCGCTCTCGCGCCGGCTATTCGCGTCTGCGGTCTTGTTGTCTGAATGTGTGTGCTAATGGTGTATCCAATAAGCGGCATCAATTGCTGAATGTAGAGATGCACGTATTGGTGTTTGGTACGATGAGACGGTAGCGCACGTATGTACGGAGTATTCACGAGGGGATCCAATTTGCGCATCGAATACGGGGATAATTGTTCAATGAATTGGAAGAGAGCGAAATTGGATGAATGCTGAACAGTGGATGGTCACAACAAAAAAAGAGTAAAAAATACCAAGAGATTAGAGAGGAGGAGTGGAGGAAAGAGACTTTGGGAGGAGGGCAAGGGGGGGGAGGATTGGAGGAAGCAAGAGGAAGCAACAGGCTAGCAGAAGAAGCTTGCCAGTAAGGATAAACCGAAAGGGGTCACCCCTGCCCCTCCTTCACTCTTGCCCCTGGGGGTTATCCATGACCCCGGTCCGTCCTTCCCTGTCTGTTCAAGGTACCTTTTTTACGCCTTCCGCGCCGTTGCTTCCTGCCTTCTCAACGCCATGGTGGTCTAGCCGGTGCCTGCCTCACCATTGCACCGGTCGATCCTCTGTGTCTTCCTTCCACAGTCCACTCCTTCCACTGTACGCAGTACGCAGCAATTGCAGGCAGGTTCAGTTCTCTTGCTCTTTCCCATTCTTTAGAAGAGATAGGTACCTACCTTACGTACATCCACAAGTACTCAGGTACATGGATACTTGAAGCAAGTACCTCACTTCGTACCCGGTGGGGCTTAACCACACATTCCAGGGCGTGTTTCTGCTTTTCTACCTCGCGCCTCCCTCCCGTCACAGAATCTCTGACTTCTTGATTCTCCTTTCTCCTCTCCGTGTTTCCTCCAAACCCGTCCACTCCCTCACTTGCTATCCGCAATCGTTTCTTCTTGTAGGGGAATTCATTAGACAAGGCCCTATTCATCCTTTTTTGAATGTGTCACTGTCTCTGAAACCCTATTCTTTTAATCAACAACAAACCACTTCGCACTCTCGTTAGCTCCACCAATTATTTCTACCTTTTTCAGACCGTTTGGATCGGATATTCAGGAAAGACAAAAACAACTAAACGTCACTTCCCACTTCCCGACAACAACCTCGACGACAAGCCCGTCAGAGAAGATCCTCCAGACCACACGCACCGAACACTCACAAATCACACAACATAACCATCACAATGGGCAAGGTCGCCGCCGCCGTTTCCGCGGCTCTGCTGCTTGCCAGCAACGCCGCTGCTCTCGACCCTATCGTCATGAAGGTATGATGCCATCACACACCCCCACCAAGCCTGACATGCATCACTAACAATTCAAAACAGGGCTCCAAGTTCTTCTACGAGAACGGCACCCAGTTCTACATGAAGGGTATTGCCTACCAGCAGGACACCGCCGCCGCCGGTGGTGAGTCCAAGACTGGCGACTACAACGATCCCCTCGCAGACGAGACTGCTTGCAAGCGTGACGTTCCTATCATGGTGAAGGCCGGCACCAACACCATCCGAACCTACGCCATTGACCCCAAGAACAACCACGACGCCTGCATGAAGCTTCTCAGCGACGCCGGCATCTACGTCGTCTCCGACTTGGGTGAGCCCAAGCTCTCCATCAACCGTGACAACGCCCAGTGGAACACCGAGCTCCTCGACCGCTACACTGCCGTTATCGATGCCCTCGCCAAGTACGACAACACCATCGGTTTCTTCGCCGGTAATGAGGTCTCCAACAACAAGACCAACACCGAGGCTTCCGCCTTCGTCAAGGCTGCCGTTCGTGACTCCAAGAAGCACATCAAGGACAAGGGTTACCGCTGGATGGGTGTTGGCTACGCCGCCAACGACGACGCTGACATTCGCACCAACTCGGCCCACTACTTCAACTGCGGTGACCAGGAGACCGCCATTGACTTCTGGGGTTACAACATCTACTCGTGGTGCGGTAAGAACACCCTCGCCGGTGCCGGTTACACCACCCAGATCGACTTCTTCAAGAACTACTCCGTCCCCGTCTTCTTCGCCGAGTACGGCTGCAACATCCCCGACGGTGCCGATGGCCGTATCTTCCAGGAGACCACCGCTCTGTACGAGAAGGAGATGACTGACGTCTTCTCTGGTGGTATCGTCTACATGTATCACCAGGAGGCCAACGACTACGGTCTCGTCGAGATCAACAACGGTGTCGCCAAGACCATGAAGAACTACGACCAGCTCGCTTCCCGTGTTCTTGCTGCCACCCCCGCTGCCGTTCAGATGGCCTCTTACTCGCCCACCAACAAGGCCGCTGAGTGCCCTGGCACCTCCTCTACCTGGGAGGTTCACGGCGATGCCCTTCCCCCCACCCCTGACAGTTCTCTCTGCGAGTGTATGGTCAAGTCTCTTTCTTGCACCCCCAAGGATGGCCTGAAGGCTTCTGCCATTGGCGAGATCTTCGGCTACATCTGCGGTGCCTCCCCCGACTCTTGCCGCGGTATCAACACCAACACCACCACCGGTGTCTACGGCGCCTACTCCATGTGCACTGACGAGCAGAAGCTCGCCTTCGTCATGGACACCTACTACAAGTCCCAGAAGTCCGCCAGCACTGCTTGCAACTACGATGGCCAGGGCCAGGTTGTTACCCCCTCCTCCACCGACAGCTCTTGCAGCTCCGCCCTTGCCTCCGCTTCTGCCGCCAACAGCGCTGCTGCCACCGCCACCGCCCCCGTCTCCTCCACTGCCAACCCCAGCTCCAGCTCTTCTGGCAACGCTGCTGCCGGCAGCCCCTACCAGCCCATGTTCAACTTCGGCGGTTTTGCCATCGGCGCCTACATTGTCGCCGCCGGTGCCGTCGGTGCTGCCATGATTGCTCTGTAAACGGTCTCTTCATCTAATGATGTGTCGAGGTGGAAAAAATGGGTGTGCCCAGGATGAGGGCGATATACATTTATGCGAGCGTGTAGGATATCCAACGCAGGTTACCATGGTGCCTCGTTTAATACAGTCACGACTCGACAGATTTTTTACTAGCATGAGGCTCTTTTGTGTTTCTCACCATCACATGGCGTTGGGTCTTCACTGGCAGCAGCTATTCTGCTTCATGACTGGCCGACAGGTCAATGTTGTTTTCTAGTGTCTTTTGGTTCGATGAATAGAATTTTTTCTTTTTGTTCATATCGATTGCCCTGATTGGACCCTGTGAATGTGTGAGTGTACATATCATGACTTGGCAGTGATCTCAGCCACCATCTAGCCGTTGCTCTTGCCTTGGCAACCTAGGCGTCATTTACCTAAGATTCTTGCCCAGCACTTGGCAGGACTCTCGGACATGGTGAAATATCTACGGACGCTGTTACTGAAGCGGTGAAGATGGTACACATGGTTGCCAAGATCGCAGCTTAATAGTCTACCTGCCTCTTGGTCCCTTGTAGGATATTTCAATGACGATCCCGAGCCCTCTCGAAGTTATGGATCCCGTGGTTGAGAAGTAGTCCCGAAACTTGCACACCGCGACATCAATTGGTTCTCACGATGGCCCCCGTTACCCTATTTTTCCATTGCTCCCGGAAATTTCAAAAGAGATACGCACGCGAGTAAAGACCTCTTTCTTCCTCGGCGAATTTATCTCTGTTGTCTCTGTCGTATCCGTATGCAAGTATGTGTTCTCTAAGCAGACGAATCGGGAGAGTCTCGCATTTTGTTGCATATTCCAACGTCTACCACGGTAGCCATGGTTTCAGCTGTCTCATCCGATGTGTAGTTTCTCGACTAGCAATAGCTAATTTCATTGAAAGGCTCAAGATACTGTCGGCGAGGTGCGCATCTGACTCTTGGCCTCCTCTAAAGCTGCTTGCCATAAGGACAGAGTCTTCAGCCTTGAAAACGTTTCCCATGTGTCCACGCTTGATGGGGAAGGAGAACGGCCTTGTCTTTAGTTGCTTTGGGGGTTCATGTGCACGAATGATCTGCCGTTTATGGTATGATGCTACATTCAAACGCTTTCTGGACGGCCATGTAGTGACTATTCGCAGCAAAACGGAAACCTTTCTCTGGCTGTCCGATGCATCTTGAGATAAGGTCATAGAAAAGATGGCGAGGACGAAGCGAGAGCTACTTGTAAGCATCTACTTTAACATATTCCGGGCTTACTCCAGAGAGTGCATGTACGTAGTAGGCACATGTTGATCGCCAAAGCCTGCGTAGATACCTAGGTAAGTGACCTATCAAGATTGAATCGAAGACGTCTCTAAGGAGGCTACAATTTTACGAAACGTCTGAAAAAGCAAGATATGAACCCATCACCTCTACCCCAAGAGATTCTGAACATCATATGCTTTGTCAGTTTTGCCACCCATACTTTACACTTCCATAGTACTCATTTCATGTTTCTATGATGGTTATGAGTGTCTCTGACCTAGAGGACATTCAAGACGAATAGAATCATTTCTGCTGGCATTTACGTTCGTCAATGTAGCCCTTCCAAACGAAATACCACGAACTCTACGTATTCAAGGCCCATGAAGTGGCTGCTGTGTCTTACATGGTCGTTTACCCTACTGACCTTTCATTGGATTCTTTGAAAAGCACCCTGACTTGGATACATGCAAACGTGTACTACGGCTCAAGAACCGTTGAACACTGGAGGCATTGGCACTTGACGTGATCTCTGGAGGAGCTCGCGGCAAGGGTCAAAGAGGGTCTGTTGGCCGAATGACCCCTTGCATCGAAAGTAGTTGAGAATTGAATTTGAATTCAATAACCTGGCCTCTTGTCTCCAAGCAGTTGTCAGATCAATCCAAGGATTGTACGCCACGTCCGTCAGCCGCAACGATCATTAGGACTCCCAATACCGAGCCAGAATAGTTGAGCTTCAGGACTTAGTATGGATTGCAGGGAGCTGTTGAGCCGCCGCTCGTTGTGTACTGGTTTCCCATATTGCGACTCCGTGTTGTTTGACCCAGGTGTCTAGAATGGTTTAGATGATCTCAATCTCATTGGAGAAAGTATGGTACTTTCTGCTTCAGTAGGCCCGTCGCAATGTGGTCGCTGGTGTGTTTCTGATCTCTTTGCAAGTCTCAGTGTCTTTGCCAATTTCAGTCGGTTGCGCTGGATCCTATCGAGGGAAACCGGCCTTGATAACTGGCTCTAGAATCCCTCATGTCATCCTTCGGTATGTGATGGTCTCGTCTTGTGAACGTAACCTCGAGAATTTTGACTCGTGGATTTTAATGAAGAGCATGAGATCGAATCCGAGAACGACAATGATGGATACCTCGATATAGGGTAAACTGATCTGATCGAACGAGTAATAGGCTCTGCGAGAATTGTTTGTTAGCATTTGTTCACAAGAGGCTTTGGGGCTTTGAGTAGACTGCAGTTGGACGATGACGGTGTAGCTGAACGGCGTTTTGTACTATTTCGACAAAGATGACGATAACAGGATGGTTTATGCAAAGTAGGTGGGCATGAGGGAGCATGTTGAAGAAATGACTTGAGATATACGGGACGATGCCGGACTATTGCACTGACTTAGGTATGGTGAGCAACAGCCCTGGAGGGTTCGAGATTTCCGAGATTTTCGAGTAGGGCTTCGTGTTCTTCGCTCGGAGGACATTGCTGATTCTCACCTTTTGTCCTGCCTACAATCATACGAATGCTTGGTTCCATCGGAACAGAGTAAAGGGGTTCGTCTGAAGTACGAAGTCGGTTTTCTCCAGTCTATGGTGTGGTCTCGGGTTTGAAGATGGATATCGATCAGTTCTGCCTGTGAATATGTACTGAAATTCTCCTTCTAGTACCAAAAGGCATATGATATATTCAAAGACTCGAAGTGATGAGTCTGATTACTTACAGCTTGTTTGTTTGTGGGATTTGGCACTCGATGTCTGTTATCATGGTACCAGAACTATCGTGTGGAGGATAGATCATGGCCAGATCTCTGACTGTTGAAGGACTGGGACAGATTTGTTGTGTCTATGTTGCCGCATATACTACAATTGTACGAGTGGAAGCGTCAAAGTAGTAACATCATGCAATGGTGAGTTATGAGAGCCACTGGCAGAAGCGCAGACGAAAGTGTCAACAACTACGTGAGAACAGCTACTTCGGAAGAACCTAGAGGACTATGCTCCCCTTCTCTGTGAGATGCAAGAGATCGTATCAGAGGCATAGTTATGACCATTCGGCGTCCCTGGGAACCCTCAAGTTTACACAAGTCTTGGAAGGCCGAGACAACCGAGGAAATTCGGCCACTCTACAGCCTCTGGTTCGTCAGTTCCTCACCGCAAGGTACGTAACTTTACGGTGATGATCCTTCCTCGGTCTCAAGCAGTGTTATGGTCGTCTGCTATTTCAATGAATGCAGCCTTGCGGCGCAGACATGCAACCCTATTCTTCAGGCCACCCGTAAACTCCCTGTTCCTCATCCAAGGACCAAGCAAAAGCACGTAGGCCTGACCAACAAGGTATCACCAGGATCTGGGTGACTTGTTGGATCTGTGGGATCATGATGGAGGCTGGGCGACTTTGCACGTTTTGGGCTTGGTTTGCGAATCTGCCGCAATTCCCATCGAGATGGAGGGGCGACCAAGGGGGATAGTGGGCAGCAAAAGGACAGGAGGCGATTGAACATGGGCTACAAGCAGGCAGACCAGACAGACTTCCAAGAACCGACGGCGTGGCACGGCGGGCGAAGATGCAGGTAGGTTCAACCCAACTATCGGGAATTTGTGTCGTTGAAATTAGCTTCAGTTCTCGTTCAATCGGACACAGGAGAGGTGACCGTCGCCCAATGGCACGCCGTAGAAGGGTCGAGGATGCCGAGGTTCGATCCGAGGGAGGGGTTGGAAGGATGGCTTGTAAGGTCTAGACTGGGAAGTTTGATGTCCTACCTTAGTCTGAGCCTCTGAGGGGAAATCTATAATGGTTGTCCGCCGTCCGGGCGGTTGCTCGTGGAGGGTGTGGTGGCGTGTATGCATCCTATGATCCTCAATAGGTAGGAGTCGGGAACCTAGACTCGGGGAGAAAGTGTGCATGATCTGTGGAGGGATGTACACTATCTGCGGCGACGCCAATGCTGCTTGGCTCGTTCTATTTCTTGTTGTTTGGTAGCACGGCGAGGCATGCAGGGCGAAATTGAAGAGGGTGGCATCGAATCACCTGGTCCTCAAGGGTCCATGCTCGCACCAGCTCGCCCCAACGCCAACGCAAGGGAGACTGAAGACGATGTCTGAACCGCGGTCACGGTAGTGGAATCTTTACACGTTCACACGTTGTTGGGATGATGTGCGCTAGGACGCTTGAGACAGCAGTCACAGACTCACAGACACGAAGACCGCCATGTCGGGAACAGGGGTGGAACAGCCACGAGGAAGGGGAGGAGGCGAGTTAACGACAGCTCATCTCCCTGCTAATCTGATTGGGAATGCCTCTTCGATGCTTTCGACGACTGTTGACGACGGACAAGACGGCAACATGGCTATAAACGTCCGGATAGGACAGGTTGTGGGTGGCACGCGGCTTTTGCCAAGATCGATGGAGGCATCTTGGCGTCCGGTGGCAGACGGCGTCTCTCGATCACCTAGGAAGTTTGGCGTCCTTTGGCTCGGGTTCGACGGACTGCGTCTAATGAGGTCTCGAAGCCCTCGAAGCCTCCTTGAGTCCTCAGGTGAACTGGGACGGCGGACTTGTGGTACGGAGTACACGACTCACACGGAGCGCGGCAATTGAATTTGCTTCATTTCGTGAAGGTTCGTGGGCAGCACACTCGATTCAGTCACCGGCGCCAACAAACGAATTTCAGTTTTTGGCAAGCGCGTGCGTAAGGTAGGTACCCATGGTTCGTCCACCGTTCGAAGTTCGAGGGTCAACAAACCTCCTCGTTCGTCGTCTCATTCTTTCGGTGTCTTATTCTTGCCGTCATTCCAGTGCAGGTTCGGGACGAGTCACCCGGGAGATGGGTACAACTTTTCAGTCAAGAAAATGACAGATGCCACGGCCACGGATATCCCCCATGTCTGCTGCGTCTGGAGGTGACATGACATGAGATGGAGCACACTCCACAGGGTTATGTCACTCTTTCTGCGAGATACCCTGAGCAGTGTGTCATCAAGCCTGAAGAAGAAGCATATCACTTCCTGTCGGTGTCCTTACACCCTGGCTCGTATCTCCATTCCCCATGTACGCCTCCGTATGTCCCGTCGATCTTCTTTGCTTCTTCCCCCTCACCCTTTCTATTCCTCTCCGTCTCTCTCTCACTATTCTACCTTACCGACGGGGCCGCGTAGCATCACAAAAAGACCCGAAGAGGGGCAGAGACATTGGAATAACATCCATACTTCGTCCCTATTGCCAGAAGAGTGGACTGTCAGATTTCCCAACCCCAACCCCATCTCCATGCCGCGCTGCGCCTAGTACATTCTCGGGTCTCATCGCGTGGGCTTGCATGCCTTAGTCTCAGCTTCGCGTCTAGAACCGAATTGGGCAATCCGCCGGCAGACGATCCAATCGCATACCCGCCAAGTCGCTCCGGCGCACAGTACCGAGTCGACCGGCCGAACCATGATCACTTCTGACCTTTTTATTCATCGTGTCTTTCTATCTTATGAGTGGACATTTCAAAGGGTGAATGACCGACACACGTCCCCTCCTGGGGTCTCTCATAGCCCATTAACCCATGTCCGATGGATGAATGATGGGCCATGGGCCCCTTTCCCCGGCTTTCTTCCCACTAGGCTCGGCGGACTTCTCCTCACCACCCACACGGGACGTGGAGGCTCCAGCTTTCCTCCACACGCACATCGTGCGTTTACCCCGCAGCCAAAGGCCGGGACGAACCCACTTTGAACCTTTGGTACCCCGGATTTGAGCTGTTGTGGCTAGCCGCACGCTGTGCCGCTGTATTTTTGGTGAGCATAGTTGAGTCAAGTGAGTGGATTTGAGCGAGAGAGGTGAGTGTGAGTGAGAGCGAGATTGAGATTAAGAGTGAGAGGGATCTGGGGTGTTGAGACTCACTCTCAATATCAGCTGTAGACATGGGAAATTACCGAACAATCAGTATCTCTATTTCTGCAATTCTGCAATTCAGTAGACTATTCGGGTATGCGTGTCTCTATTACCTGCCGTTTCAATACCAATCTACATGCCATCACCGTCTTTGGCTGGACCCGTCTCCCGGTGTCTGAATGTCTTGTCTCTGACGGCTAGAGGGAAAACCGATGCCGCATACCACACCCTTTCCGTGGCTCTTGGTTCCAACTTCTCATCCTAATGCGGCACTGCGGCCACGCCCTTGCCCTTCAGTCTTGGCTTCCTTCGAACGAGTCGACAACTCGACAGGCTTCTTCCTAGGCTTGCTTGCCGCCACCCTCGGTATCTTCTTGTCTTGTTTTGAGTTTGATTGGCTCCCCCGCAGCAAGAGGACAGCAGCATCGGGGGTGGTCCCCCCATCCCAGGGCGGGGGAGATATGGGGACGTGTGTCTGCTAAGGCTCATTTCGTCTGTGTTTTTTTCTGGGGAACATGGGGAAAAGGAACGCCGGTGGTTTGGATGGCTTCAAGGCCTTGTCTGGTCTTGGATTCTTTGGTCTTTGGATCCACCGTCCTGGGTGCTTTCGTGTATGTCTTGTCTTACGGACCAGGGGGGCGGGCGTGGGTGAAAAGAAGGGGGTTGTAGTCGTCGTCGACTTGCTGTCTTTTCGCGGGGAACTGGGGCTGGACCCGAACGGATACAAAAAGGCTGTGTGCGGATCGTTATCGAATCGTCGTGTCATCCGATGCTACTCTCAGGATCTTTGTGTTTCTTGAGTAGATAACCTCCAGAGTTCCCCCCTCTTGACTTTGGGTTGTCTGTTCCACATACTTATTCGAACGGCATTCCTCAGTCCTGCGTCGGCGTTGATTAGAAGGCCCAGACCTCTTTCTCGATTGACCCCCTCCCTTGGTCAAACTCAATAAGTGACGCACAATCTGCAGCTTCTGTGCGCCGTCGACACCAGTCCCTCGTCTTTCACTTCTTCGACGACTCATTCACAGCGAGCTTCAATCAACGACACAGCCGCCCAACATGGATCGTCCCGTCTCAGACCCCGAGAAGGCAGGCTTCGAGCACAGTGACCACATCAGAACCAGCTCCATCAACGACTCTCATGATCTCGACATTGACCATGGCTTCACTGCTGAGGAGCAGCGCAAGATCATTCGTCGAGTCGACCGAAGACTCGTCGTCACTGTCGGTGCCATGTACTGCGTGTCATTGATGGATCGTACCAACTTGTCTGCGGCCGCCATTGCAGGCATGACCAAGGAATTGGGTCTCTATCTCGACAACCGATACGTGAGT